GAGGCGTTTTAGGAGGGCGTGGACGAGTCTTAACTTTTATAAAGAATATCTCTTTGGGTTTGAGACTTTAGTCTTTGCAACTTTAGGGATCTTATCTATTCACGAACAGCTTGTAACACTCCAAAGAGAAAGGAAAACTTGAAATCGCATCATATGACCCTTTAAGTGTGTGAGTGAGTGTGTGCTACTACAATTTAATTTAATTTAAATATTTTATTTTAACATTGTACAACAAACACTTTTATTAGTTTTTTTATGTGATGTGATCCCTTTAAAGTTTAAGGAGGCATTAACAGTTAACAGCTGGCAAAGAAGAAATAATAGCTCTGTTACATTATGAGTGATTAATGTTTAATATGGCTCTTTAAATATCAACATTCTTATCTTGTTTTGCAAACACAAATCAGCAAAGCCTATAATTCTTTGAACTTGCTATATCTGTGAGCTCTTAATATTTTGTGACAACAGATAATGCCTTTCTCTCTTGCACTGGTCTTAACCTCACACTTATTTAAACAGCGTAACACACATAACGCACACACTGAAATCGCCAACTGTAGAACTGAAACCCATCCAAATTCACAGCATGCTTGGGGATTTTCACACATGCCCAGTTTCATGACTGGACAGTAAGCTTGCAGCCAAAATGTGACACTGCCTGTATTGATTTACTGTCATTCATGCAGCAGGTGGGTAAATTGGCTGCAGAAGGGTTGTTGTCAAAGCAATGACATGCTGGGGATGCCAAAAGATCTCAGGGAGGCAGAAACGTGGCATTCCAAGTTTCCAAGTGTTGAAAGCAGTGCATGAATTATTTGAAGAATTTCAAGGTGTTTGAAGAAATGTCTAGTAATTTTTGGGCCACAATTTGTTTTGGTTGTCCCCAGCACAGTTAGCCAAATGTCTTTTAAATCCTCTGAACTTTTTGATTATTATTAATCATATTTGATACACACACACTCACACACACACACACACACACGTGGCCCTGGACGGCTATGAACTACCTGGACAGATTTTTATCTGTGGAGCCCACCAAAAAGACCAGGTTACAGCTGTTAGGAGCAACTTGTATGTTTTTGGCCTCTAAGATGAAAGAGACTGTGCCACTAACAGCAGAGAAGTTGTGCATATACACGGACAACTCCGTCCGTCCCAGCGAATTATTGGTAATTATTCAACACTGCACAATTATACAGCTTGATATTGTTTTCTTATATTACTTCACTTAAGTCAAATAAAATGCAAGTGCAAGAATTGCAATCATGCTCTATGTGTACATGAAGTCTTGGATTAAAAGTCTTAACCAGATAATTGGATTGGTCTGCAAGTGTAAAGCCACCCCTCAGACATAAATATAAACGCGCATGTTACAAACGTTTTAGGACTTTTTATGTGTCCGTTAATTGAACGTAGGCCTTGCTTGGCTGTGCAATTAATCGACATCTCCATCTAGCGGTCAAAGAGTGTACAATCGGATATGGAAAAAGCGCCTTTATGTAAACTTGGGCCTTTTTATGCCTCCTTCGCAGCAAATGGAACTGCTGGCACTAAATAAACTGAAGTGGGATCTTGCCTCAGTCACACCACATGATTTCATTGAACACTTCCTCGCCAAACTGCCTATACACCAGAGCTCCAAGCAGATACTGCGCAAGCACGCCCAGACGTTTGTGGCCCTCTGTGCAACAGGTATGTTTTACTGTTTGTGTTCAGTTTTACTTTGATCATTTTTGTTCATGCAATATGTGGCCCTGGACCACAAAACCAGTCATAAGGGTCCATTTTCTTAAATTGAGATTTATACATCATCTGAAAGCTGAATAAATAAGCTTTCCATTGATGTATGGTTTGTTATGATAGGACAATATTTGGTCGAGATACAACTATTTGAAAATCTGGAATTTGAGGGTGCAAAAAAATCCAAATATTGAGAAGATCGCCTGTAAAGTTGTCCAAAGCAATGCATATTACTAATCAAAATTGAAGTTTTGATATATTTACAGTAGGAAATTTACAAAGTATCTTCATAGAACATGATCTTTACTTAATATCCTAATGATTTTTGGCATAAAAGAAAAATCTATAATTTTGACCCATACATTGTATTGTTGGCTATTGCTATAAATGTATCCGTGCTACTTATGACTGGTTTAATAAATAATAAATTAATAAATAAATGCTGTTCATTTGAACTTTTTGTTCATCAAAGAATACAAAAATATTAAGCAGCACAACTATAATAATAAGAAATGTTTCTTCCAAAATCAAATCAGCATACTAGAATGATTTCTGAAGGACAATGTGGCACTGTAGACTGGAGTAATAGCTGCTGAAAATTCAGCTTTGCATCACAGGAATTAATTTACTTTTTAAAATATTTTGAAATAGAAAAACGTTTTGTTAATTTGTAAGAATATTTCACAATATTACTGTTTTGCTGTATTTTTGATCAAATAAATGCAGCCTTAGTGAGTGTTAGAGATTTCTTTAAAAAAAAACATGAAAAAATCTTTTGAATGTTAGTGTATACATATGAGTTCCTACTCCAAATGTTTTAGAAAGATATTTCAGTTGTATTATTAGTTCAGTAATTAAAATGCTGTTGAACATTCCTAATATACAAAACATAATTTTTCAAGACTCTTCATTCTTGTGTTTTAACTCCTTTGGAAGGGTTCAAGCGTTAAATGAGGGTGCCAGACCCCATCCCACTCAACAAGCTGTAAACTAAGTGCATGTGGTTTTAGCCCCTGTGATCCTCTAAGTGAATTGTACAGCAGACTAATTCATATCATTGTTCCAGCAGGTTAAACCGATAATTTAGTCCACAACACAGCCATGAGAAGTTTTTCTTCAAGACTCATTCAGAATGAGAGCGAAATGAATTAAATCCAAGGACTTGAGGACCCTATCAAGGGCGGCTGGGACGCAATCAATATGTGAAAGGAACGAGGATGTTCTGGCATGACCGTGATTCAGATGTTGCTGTATCCCAGGTCACTAATGAGCTTTGCCCATCACTGTTTTGCAGTTTCACCAGCAGCATGACTCATAAACACCCCCACAGCGGCTTTACACGAGCCCGCCATTCTCCTCTCCTGTCAGGTTCAAACAAACTCCAGCTCAACGCTGTGAAAATTATCAATGCAGCACTTTGTTTAGACAAACAATGTTAAATAGACTAATTACAGAACACCAGGGAAATCCCGGGAAACTGAATCGCAGAGTGGAGCCTTTTCCGAACATTCCAGGTTTATGAAAAAAATCTAGTACACGTGATGAAGACCAAAAGAGACAGGGCCGGGTTGCATCATCTTTCAATCTTTTTCTTTTCATGTCAGACAAGAGAAGTCTGCTCTGTCTATCAAACCACTACCTACTGGGAGGGAGAATTGGCATATGGCGGAGGCAGCAATTAATGTCTGCCGAAAGAGATGCTTTCCATCACCTCCCTTTAATAGCCAGCATGTGGAGTGCATCTCGGCAGATGTTACACAGGAATTAATTAACGCCCGTTACCAGTCATACGCCTCCCTTGTAAGCTATTATCCACAACCCTGGGTATGAGATTCTAAATCCAGCACACAACACTCCCCCGACAACTGTCATATACCACATAAAACAACATGTGGCGTTTGAATGAGTGGCCCTTCCGGCCCGACTGGAGAATAGCTTCTGGAAAGGCAGAGGGACGTGGGACTGAGGGTTTGCTGCAGTATTTTAAATAAAATTCACAATACAATAGAGTCTTTGGCTATGTTCATGCCACAGTCCAAATCTAATGTTGTTGTTATTTTTGTTTTTTTCCTTCACATATCTGTTTTTAGATTAATAGTTTATATAATGGACCCCTGCAAATACTCCCTTCCTAAAATATAAAAGTAGCTATATGTTTTCATGTTAGAAAAAAAAAAAAAAAAAAACACCTTTAAGAGTACTGTTATATGTATGAATCTGAATCTGAAGAGATGGTTAAAGCTATGAAAACTTAAACATTTAGAAATATGTTAAAGTTAAAGCACTAAAATTACTATCTGGAAGTAAATAATAATTAAAACTAAAATAAAAAATAAACCTAAATAGTAATATAAAATATATTAATAAAAAATGTGAAAAAACACATTATAAAATTAATCAAAATGAAACTAAAGCTAACAAAATTAAAGCTGAAAATATAAAAATAAAAGCAAATTCAGAATATTAATAAAAACTTAAATAAATAAAAAACACTGGAAAGCAAACAAACAAAAGCCTGTCTGGCTGTTGAGTCCATACATGTTGATGATGTGTGAACGCTGAGTGTCAGAAATGAATTGCTCATCATCATTTGAGTTTATCTCTGTTGTTTACAGTGGGACGCTTTCTGTTCAAGAATAGAGTTGTCAATCATACTAAATACCCAATCCACTGTCAGATCAGACATGAGATTGTGCCAGTGACAGATGGGGGGAAAACTACCGTACAAATGGCATGAAAGTAGAACCCACTGTGGAAAAAGCCATTAAACAGCATGGAGCTGAATTAGTAAAACACACTGTATGTGTGTTGACATGAAGTGACTCAGAATGAGGGTTTAAAAGGATGTAAGACTGAGTCAAATGTCAGTGTTTTTGATCAAACATTATAAAGCAACAGTTGGAATGAAGTTATAGTCCATTTTATTGTGTGTGTGTGTGTGTGTGTGTGTGTGTGTGTGTGGTTTTGCATGTGTGTACAGTGCGGCTGTCTGACAGCGTTCCCAGAGAGGCCACATGGGAACTGCTGTCACCTCTAATCTTCAAGACCATACAAACACCCCCGCAGTGCATTGAGCAGTGAAAGAGAGAGAATATGCAACCATGGTTGAGTTACAGTGGCTGAATAAGAACTTCAGAACAAATACGGATCCTGTCATGTTCAGAGCTAGGGAAGGGAAGGGAAGGGAAGTCCAGATCACTGAATGATCATTTTTGGTAAGATATAGATCATTATTTCCATCATTCATTCACGACGAGGCTTTTGCTGGCTTCATGTTACACTTTTTAACCAGAATAGCTCACGCTAGAAGTGATTTATGGATATCTGTGCTCAGTTTTCTCTGCTGGATTGTAAAATATTGCCAATTCAGGAAGTACTTTATGTAGGGCCTCATATATTTATTTTTTACCCATGTAAGTGTGCCTTCACACCATAGGCTTTGCTACACTAACGCCCCCCTGTCTTCCATACCGTCTAAAATGCCATTAAGCTGTCAGCATCTTAAAAATGTGTGATTATGGATCTCTCCTCACATCTGCTGAAAACAGCAGCTGCAGAAAGCAATCTAAGGTTATTTTGCTCTGTGTCCTCCCCTTACCAGTAATCACAAAAACATTTTATTTCTTATTATTTAGTTTATATTTAGTATTATCTTAGTGCCATCTTTTATTTTATTTTGTTTTGTTTTGTTTTTATTTTATTTTATTTTATTTTACTGCTTGTAAATGTAAAGTAATGACAAGAGTGTTCAAGCACACCATTCAGCAGTGTAGCTATTTTCACCCAATAGAAAATAAATAAAACTAATGTTTTAAATGCGGTGGCTTTTGCATCTTTCTTTGATTCATTATTGGCTATCTAAGCATTGCGGATAAAACTGGTGTTTTCAGGAACTTCAAAGAGTAAATCATCATTTACTCACCCTGAAGTTGTTCCAAGCCTGTATGACTTTTTTCTTCTGTTGAACACAAAAGAAGATATTTTGAAGAATTTCGGTAACTAACCAGTTGACGGTAGCCATTGACTTTTATAGTATTTTTTTTTTTTCTCCATACTTTGGAAGTCAGTGGTTACCGTCAGCTGTTTGGTTACCAGCATTCTTCAAAATATCTTGCCTATATCAAAATATCTATGAGATGACAGAATCTTCATATTTGGGTAAACTATCCCTTTAATTTTCATAATGCTGACTGAGAGCCTTTTTATCCAGGCAGTTGTTTTAAAACCTACCAATGTAATTTGCATACCTTTGTTAAAGTAAAACTTCAGACATAATACATTATTTATATACTCATTTATTTACTTCAGTTACTCTTCTATGTTGTTCTAGAATCTAGTATATCATTTTAAGGCTTTATATTATACTTGCAGCAGTTTATTTCAGCTTTGGTAAATGTTTTCAAACATAAGCAAAATTTACAAACTGTCCCACCACATTTTGCCATGGACGATTTTGTCCTCAACACTTTATGATGGCCTTTCTTCTGCTGAAAACGAGAAAAAATAACTAGTGGCAGGGCAGTTGTTGAGCAGGAGTTTTGTTTTCTTTAACTTTTGATTTAATGAGTGACGATGCCTACTGTTTTTATTTTTTCTCTCTCTGCTTCAGATATCACAAATTAAAATATATCTAAATTCATCCCTGCCCCTGATACATGTTTACTGATATACATATAGTGATACTTTTTAAAACATATATTTTAATTTATTATTTTTTTTCATTAAAAAATATTTCTCAAATAATTTTATTTTTATATTATAGTTATTTGTATTTTATTATTTTATTCATATATTTCCTATTATTATTATTTCTTCTTGGTAGCTCATATATGCAAATGTCCATGTGAGGATGGCGTCCTAATAACATTATGGAAACTACAGCTTGATTTCTTCAAAGATTCTCTCTGCCATAGATTCCACTTCATTTCAATTGGTGTGTGAAGTGATAAACAGTCCAAATAATGTCCCTGAAGTGCTGTAATCTGCTTAGAGGGAGAAGATGGGTGAAGAGCGGCGTTAATTTCATCAGAAAGCTGACTGACTGAATACTGGTGCCTGACGTTTCAGTCTGCTGGAGGAAAAATGACCTTCCTCTTCATATCATTATACACCAAAAATACTCCCACAACTCCCCCTAATGAGAAAACTCCATTAAACCCCACACAAAATCACTGAAACAAGTGTGTCTGCATGTGTGTAATGGTGATATGCGCGGATGGGGAGTAGATAACGATATAATTATATTTATGGTGAGACGCTGTACCCGCTAAACCTCAAACATTCATACCATGGTCACGCCACAGCTCCCACAATGCACTGCCAACCGCCTCCGCTGACCTATGCCCTCCGCTTTGCCACAGAAAAACAGAAAAATAAAAAGTTGCGAAATGTGACTCACTTTAGTGGACGCTTTCCTTCTTTGAATTTGTTCAATTACTCTGCTTTTTTTTTTTTTTTTTTTTTTTTCTGAGAGATGATAAACTGTTTAGCTTTGGGTAAAATGCAGCGCTTGTCACTGTCACTTTTTACAC